GAGGGCAGAAGGAAGCATTTCATCAAGTCTCCTTACTATGTAACCCTCTGTTTTCCTGTAGCATTAGGGGCTAGACAGAAAGAATCTTGCCCCATCAGACCCTTCAGCCTTTCCCTAAGCCTCGGGTACACTACTCTCTGCATCTGTGCTTTGTAATATCACAAACCCTCCTATAGTTTCTGCACTTCACTTTTGGGCTTTATTTGCCTCTGGAATACCAGGCTCCGACGTCATCTCCCTCGCTGCAGAAGGATCCCTGCTATAGTCCTGTCCACAGGAGATGGTTAGAAGGTTAGCATTCAGAGGACTGAAAAACATCACAAAAAGAGGAGAGGGGGATCACTTCATTTATTTAGTTAAAGATGGTTCCTGATATATTAAAGCAGTTCCAGAATTAGAAAGCCTTTCTGTACATTTTCTCCTGTTTTTCTTGCTTCTTTTCCTTATGTAATGAAATTAAAACTTTTGGAGCCCACAGTTGACATTTTTCAGAAAATTGAGTTATCAAGGCACTAATTATTTCTCGGGGAGATAAAACTCTCATAGCCCTAACTGTCAAATAGGGCCCTTTTCAGAGTTTAATTACAAAATAAAATTAGTCTGCTCTTCCTCGGAATGGTTGGCGAGTGGTTAAACAGAGCTTTCCCCCAATACTGGTGGTCGTCAAACTCTGCTAATTAGCAATGCTGAGAAATTCCAGTTAACAAGGGCATTCTCCGAGACTCTGCAGGTCCCCTGCCGTTCGCCTTCATTTCCATAAGGAGATTAGGAGAGGAGGGAACCCACTCAAATGCAGATGCAGGAGCGAAGCGTTTTTAACAAGCATCATAATAGTAAGATGCTTGGCTAGTTCTCGCTAATTACTGCAACTTAAACCTCTATTTGCCACTAAGAAGAAAAAAATAAGTCTACAGTCCTCACCTCCACAAAATTGTCAGTTGGCTTCAGATATGATACTGGAGGGATGGGGAGCATTTAGGAGAGAAAAACTGATGCAAAAGATTTTTAAATAAAATTGGGTTATACTTAGCAGTTAAGGCTTCTGGCTAGGGCCAATAGCAGAGCAAAATAAAATCTGATTACTCCAGGCATATGCTAATCACTAATGCTGGTCTAAAAGTGCATAGCTTTTTGCTGCCCATGGAAGGGAAGTGTTACATTCTCTTTAGATGAAGCACTTCCAATTTTCATAAACTATGCCACTGGCAACATTTTAAATTCTCGGAGGATGAAGCACCCTGTTCCAAGTCTCTTTCTGATTGTCTGCTAGTCAATAGTGTATTGTTGCTGGTACTGTAGTCAGCTATTATAACCCCCAAAGAGGCTTGCCTCTGTCGTGGGCTAGGGCTGTTATAGTTATTATTATACTTTGGGTTCTATGATGGTGCTGGATTGAAATCGGGTGGCCAGTGATCTAATTTTTTTTTCAATGCATATGTTTTAAAAGCCATAAACTAAAACTGGTTTTTGCTATTGCCATCTTCTTTAATCTTATTTTCATTGCACGTTATTATGCATAAACAGCAGCCACAGTTAGTGCTTTGCCTGGATAAGTCTAAGTACAGCAAACTTAATTAAAAATAAAACTGTAAATAAATACTACCAAGGATAACACGATTGTAATGTGCTCCCATAGATTATTCATATGATAAAGCAATTAACAAAAGCCTAGCTAGAACCCTTGCCCTCTATAAGTACATTATTATAGAGTTCAGGTGCAGACACAGGCATTTAAGAATTGCACACCATCCCGAGGGTTGGGGAGGGGAGGGCGGAGCTATGCTTTTTACTAAGACCCTTGAAAGAAAACTATCAAGATTTTAAAAAAATGTTCCTTTATCATCATCCATTATTAATATTTATCTTAATAAATATACACCACCGTTGTCCACATTAACTTGTTAGATTTTTTTCTTCAAACTTAATTATCCATAAGCTTTTTTAAGTTTTCAGAATAATGCTATTAAGCGCCTACCGTTACATACACAATCACAAAGTGAATGCCCGGCCTGCCCTTCGTGGCGCGCGGACAATCATAATTCATTCATATGTTGAATCTCATAATTTATACCTATTTTCCCCTGGTTTAACCTTCCACTTCATCTGGCGGTTCTATGTACATTTCTAAGTTAAGCAAATTAAATTTGATTCTTATGATTTGGTCCTACGGCTTATATGATATGTTAACTTTTCTTTTGTTTAGATTATGTGTAATTAGTTTGATCTTCCATCCTCCTTTTTTTTTTTTACTTAATTATTTCTCCACACCTTCTTTTTAAAGGCACAGTCTTGGAAAAGCGAATACACCAGCAGGGGGCGCAGCAGCTACATCCCAGAAACTAGGCGTGCTGAAAAGTCGGTGGCTGCCTTCCCCGGCTCAACCTTTTCGGTAGTCTCCAGAGATTCGTGTTGAGCGTAATAGTACACCCCGATTAAGCTGAAAACAATGTTTTAATTTGAAAGAGTCCCAAATATTTACGCGTTTCTGTAAGTCCTTTTCGGGTCCTCAAGAACTAAAGCAACCAAAATTTAAGGAGCACCTGGGGCAGACAGAACAGACAGAAGAAGTAGCAAAGAAATTATTTACTTCAAGTTTGCAAAAAATTCTTTACCACAACATTTCCGGGTGTGACGTGAGCATATTTAGCTTGAGTGTGACACTAGCAGTCAAGTCTGGGAGGATAGGAACTGGAGCCGTGCTGGGGGGAGGAGAGCAGAGGTGGTCAGAGTGGAGACTAAACAGTGCTGTAAGGACAATGTGCGGAGCGTGGCCGGCAGATACCCTTCTGAACGCTTTTTTTAGGCCTAGTTGGGGTGGTTGAGGGGAGGAGGGGCTGAGAGAATTGCAGGGGGAAAAAAACTAACCCTGATGGTTTAAGCTCTTTATTTAAAAAGGAAAAAAAAAATGGCATCAGGACTTTTTTTTCCTCCCTTCTCGCTCCCCTTTTGTACCCAAGTGCATTTTAGCCACAAAGGTTCCAACAAGAGTGGAAGGAAACTTAGACGGGGCTTTGTTTGACTCCGTGTAGCGACAACAAGAGAAACAAAACTACCTATTTGTAACGGACGTGGTGCGGTGGCTCTGGGCTTTTTTTGAGCGCCTGCCGATTGAAATCTTTACGTCTGGACAATGGGAGATCGGCTAAAATTACCCTCTCGGGTCCTGGGCGGGCAAGATTCTTGAGCCCCTACCCCCGCCCCCAGCCCATCCTCCCGCAGCCTGGGCTTGCTGGGGCCCCGTTCCCCGGGTTCCGCAGGCCTTGTCCCAGCGCACTTCGCCTGCACCTGTGCCTCTGAACCCCGCGTGCCTCCCAGGTCCCAGTTCCTTTCAGCCCTAGACCAACTCGGCCTGGCCTTCGCGGCTACCAGCGTGCCAGTCAGCAGGGGCAGTGCTGGCTGCGCAGCTCCCATCCTGGGAACGCTGCGTGGGAGGGAGTTGGTGAGCGCAGCCCAAATGCCACCTCGGTGCCTCGCGGTGGGATGCCAGGAAGTTGCGTGACCCTCCCCCATCGCCTGCGCTCTGGAGCCTCTTTCTGTTGATTCTTTCGTCCCCAGGCTCTCAGCTGAAACTGCCACCACTGAAAATCCTCTTGTGTCGGGGATGGGGGTTAGCAGGAGAGTGGGAGGAGAGTTCAAGCTTTGCCTTTGCACCTTCTGGATGGGACAGACTAGTGGAGGAGGGAGTTAGGGTAAAGGACACGTGCTGCGGTTCCTTAAGCCACACCTGAGTCAGGCTAGGAGAAGGCTGAGAACAAGGCCTGGTTCTAGGTCTGCTCTGCAGTGGGCCACATGGGCCGAGACCTGTCTGGGAGCCGAGAAGATGACGTGGAAGACAGGAGGGCGCTGAGGCCCGAGGCTTGGGTCTAACTTCTTGTCTATACTGTGAGAAGAGGGGAGTGCGTGGGTGTTGGCACCAAGGTAGGAAGAGGGGCTGGAACCGAGAGCAGTGCCGCGGATGAGCGGAGGAACAATGGCACACCACCTCCGGCCCTGCCAGCTTCCTGAAATACTAGTTGGACGGTCGCCCTGAACCACCCATGGGCTCTGCCCCACCCTGGCCCCAGCTCCCCGAGTCCCATCCTCCCTTATGTACCCAAGAGGGAGCCAATATTTCGTAGCAAGGGAGGGAAGGAGCAGTCGTCTTGGTGCTGTTTACCCACTTCCTTCGAACAGGCGTGCGCCGTGACCTGTTGCTGAGGAAGGGAGATACAAAGGTTCCCCCGCGGACGGCTGCAGGCTGCGGGCCCGCCTCCCCCGCGCCGCTCCGGGCACAGCGCTCTGCTGGGCTCGGCTCGGCGGCGCGGCAGGCCCCGCCCCCTTTCATGCAAAACCCTCTGGCGAGGCTGGGCTCGGGCGCAGGAGCCGGCGCTCGCTGATTGGCCGCCGGAAACCCATTTATTCCCTGACAGCCCCCATCACATGGATGGTTGTCTATTAACTTGTTCAAAAAAGTATCAGGAGTTGTCAAGGCAGAGAAGAGAGTGTTTGCAAAAAGGGAAAAGTACTTTGCTGCCTCTTTAAGACTAGGGCTGGGAGAAAGAAGAGGAGAGAGAAAGAAAGGAGAGAAGTTTGGAGCCCGAGGCTTAAGCCTTTCCAA